CAAGTGCAAGTATCAATCCCTCACCAATCTTCAGAAAGTGGCAGTACACGCCTCCTACCACGTGTCACCCCTGGTCAGACTAACGCAGCACCTCCGTGGAGTACGCCACGTCAGCATCAATGGCCAGCAAGGCCGTCAAAACGTCAGCAGTGCCTTATCTGCCAAGTCATTCGTCACTGGTATGCCACGTCAGATCAAAGATACCGTTGGAGTATGGAAGCGCCACATCAACAGGTGAGTCACGACACAGGTAAGTGCCACGTCAGACAATACCCCGTTGAATCTTGGATGCCATGTCAACATCCACTCGCCATGCCACGTAGGCAACGCTCCCAATGCCACATCAGTCTCCTTCACCCACTCTCTCTCTCTCTCTCTCTCTCTCTCTCTCTCTCTCTCTCTCTCTCTCTCTCTCTCTCTGTGCACAATCATCCAGCGCCACGTCAACACCACAACCGACGATACTCTTCGCTGGTCTTCGATCACGACCACAACAACACTTTGCCACGCCAGCAATGTCGTCGCCGTCTTTAAGTCCACGTCATCATCTTCAACGGGTAGGTGCGCGCGCGTCAATCAATGTCCATATCGTGATGATAATCGCACGAGTCTATAGACAACAACACAGTTGGTGAGTAGCAGACATCCATAGAACAGCCCATGGTGAGTAGAGTCAGCCAACAAAACAACAATCAATCAAGATGTCAGCAGCTCATCCTCTTCGATTGTCTTTCTGCAAGTGCCTATGCAGCAAGGCACAAGGGCCGATGCGTGGACTACAACCTTTTCGTGATACTGTACCGCCTGCCAGCACGCACAAGTGCAAGTATCAATCCCTGACCAATCTTCGGAAAGCGGCAGCGCGCGCCTCCTGCCACGTGTCACCCCTTGTCAGACTAACGTGGCATACTCCGTGGAGGTGCTGCGTTAGTCTGACAAGGGGTGACACGTGGCAGGAGGCAGCACCTCCACGGAGTATGCCACATCAGCGTCAATGGTCAGCAAGGTTGTCAACAGGTATGCCACGTCAGATCGAAGATACCACTGGAGTATGGAAGCGCCACGTCAACAGGTGAGTCACGACACAGGTAAATGCCACGTCAGACAATACCGCGCCGAATCTTGGATGCCACATAGGCGGCGCTCCCAATGCCACATCAGCAGTCTCTTCCCCCACTCTCTCTCTCTCTCTCTCTCTCTCTCTCTCTCTCTCTCTCTCTCTCCCCAATGCCACATCAGTCTCCCTCACCCTCTCTCTCTCTCTCTCTCTCTCTCTCTCTCTCTCTCTCTCTCTCTCTCTCTCTCTCTCTGTGCACGATCGTCCAGCGCCACGTCAGCTCCACAGGCAACGATACTCTTCGCTGGTCTTCGATCCCCACCTCAGCAACACTATTCCACGTCAGCAATGTTATCGTCGTCTTCTTAAGTCCACGTCATCATCTTCAACGGGTAGGTGCACATGCGTCAATCAATGTCCAGATCGCAATGATAATCACGCGTGTCTATAAACGCGATTCAATCTGCGCAGCCCCCCGCCCCCCGCC